GTCCATCATATACAACACATTTTTTTTTTAACTTATTTAGCTCTTGCATAACACCTTTATCTCATGGAAATGACGTAGTTTCTAATGAAGGCTTGGGCAATATTTCTCCATTCCTGAGCAAGGGCTTGCTTGAGTTCCAGCAGATTGCTAGGGGCTACTGGTCGCTTTCTCACACGCCTCTCCGATTCATCCCACAATCTGCTGGAACTCGGGCAAGCCCTTGTTCAGGAATGGAAAAATTTCCCCAAGCCTTCATGAGAAACTATGTCATTTCTATGAAACAGAGGTGTTTACACGTTTTTATAGCCATGGGAGGACACACAAATTATAAAAACTGGCTAACATACAGATTTGTTGGATTAAGAAAAAGTTCATTTTGTTACGATTTTACAGCCATTCTGCGATTTTTAATTTTACAGTAGCATATTTGTTTTGTTAGTTTTTTTCCTATTTTTTCGTCAATGAATTGTAGATAATAACCTAAATAGTGAGTATGATATGTTGAATTTTGTAACAAAATCCGTCCACAAACAAACAATTTATACCGAAAAATGTAAGTGTCGGGTTATAAGTGCCTCAGATACAAAATGATTTAAAATGAAAAGCGCATAATTTAAGCGTATACTTAAATCAGGCTAAGAATCTCACAATAAATAAATAAATAAATAAAAATAGATTTACAATTTAATTCTGAGTATAACAAGAACAAAAGAACAAAAAAATATAACTTATATAAACAAAATTCATATAAAAAAGAAAACTCATCATTTTCTTTCACGACAAAGGCAGATTTTATTGTGACCAATTGATAGTTAGCGATAATGCCCCATTTGCTAGCAAATCTTATAAAATTACACCTGTCACAAAAGGGGTCGTTTGACTTCTCACACATCCTTAACAATGTGGCGATTTGACAAAAGACCGTTATTTTATGACTGTAAATGTGCAGAATTGATCACTTTTAAAACGAAATAATTACTTGCAATATTATGAACAGTGATAAAAGTGAATAAATGTATTAAATTTTAACAAGCTGACCACACAAAATTGACCGAAACCATGTGAACGATACAAATTGTTTGAAATTTGAATACTTTGAATGAGCATTTTGAAGTGCTTTCCCGGCTTGCTATTTTTTTTTAGCTGTAAAACAGTTGAACCATTTTGCACGTTATTCTTTACAAAAGTCAGATACAATAGAGGCAAAATTGAAATTGTCTTTAACCAATTAACAATTCAAAAATTACAAAACTGGAAAATAAACTTGTTAAATGCATATTTTCGGAAATCATTAAAACTGGAAAATAGACCATCTACTGTTGATTAAAGACATACATTTATGTTTCTTCATTTCTCGCAATTTTGATTATGCATGATATCTTTTCTTAATTTTGTTTAAAATGTCATTGATTTAATTCTTCTGCAACATTTTTGCCTGTAATGGATAAATATGTAGAGTAAAACAATTTCTTCCATATCTATTTTAAAAGAATGGTTAAGAATTACTTTTAACATGAAAGTTAGAGAGTATTGCTTATAAATAACAGTTTTGTTGAAAACGTTCCTAAGTATTTTATTGGATTTTTTGTTTAATAATATTTTCAAACGCACGCGGTGATCTTCAGTATTACCAGTAAGTTGCTACGAGGTCACTAAATAATTTAAAGTCTTTTAGTGACAGAAGTTCCAGTATCTAAAGAATCAGCTAATCAAAGTTTGTTTTTTTTACATTTTTTTTAAACTCATCTCTTCGAGGATTATTTAGGATTGTTTTAAATCGTGCATTTATAAGTCATCTAAATATATTATTCAGTTATGTTTCTACCTTCGGCTGTGCTTCAATTCATTACATTTTATTTTATTTCATTTCTTAAGCTCTCTCTTTCTCTCTTTCTATTCTTTCTTTTTTTTCTTCTTCTTTTAGAGATAAACGTTATTTTACGATTCTTATTTTTTATTCATTATTGTACAACGCCAATGAAAATGTTTCACATATAAATAATAGTTTAAGAATAAGAAGACATACAAGTATAGATTCATTTTTTGAATTTTAACTTACTAACAAAATATATTTTTCCTCATCATTATATTCATTGCTAATTCTAGCACATTCCATTAAAAGTATCTTTATGCCTCGAAAGCTAATTAAATATACAGTATAGCTTTAAATGAAAATAAAAATCAGTGCACCCTAATATGATTGTTTTGTCTGTCGTTATGCAAAAAAATGAATGAAAGAATAAAACTGGCAGAATAATGAAACCGAAATGGAAGAGTTCTTAAGCTCATCCCCTAATATCTATTTAGAGATTAAATTTCACTTATTGTCTTTGTAATTTTTTAAATTGTTTGTTAGTATAGTTATGTACATGTATATTTGCTACTTTTGTATATAAAGCTGGTTAAAAGAGGAAACCCTGAATGTCATGTGTTTTGAAGAAGAAGAAAAGAAATAACTGAAAGTATTATGTGAGCAGTGGAAACATATTGTTTGTATACCAGTCGTATTTTTATCATGAATTCTTTGATAATGATAGTAATATTAATAAAAGAACGTAACTGAAAATGAAAAACAACCATGTTGAAATATTGTTTTGCCGCATAAAACGTTTTTATTTGCAAAAAAAGTAGTTAATTCATAAATCTTGTTTTCATATATGCTGTATAAGGAAAAAAAGTAAAGTAATTTGCCGACAATTAGATGCAATTTATCGCCAGTTATTCGTTCTAGTGCATACATATAAAGATGATAGTTAATAAAGTGTTGCATGTAAATTAACTTTCTTGATATGTTTCTTATCTTTTGACTTTATATACCATCTGCTCTAATACTTGTATTTGTATATCTTAATTAACTTTAAGATATTCATATAACTGAATAATGAATAGGGGAATAAATGATTAATAGTAAAAGGAAATTGTATAGAAATTATAAAAAAAAAAGAAAAGGCTTAAGAGGTTTATTATTATATCATACATTTTTTTCCTTTTTTCTTTTCCTTCGATATCATAAATTCCATCACTAAATGAAATTGGAGATTGAATACTGTTTATGCTGGTGTGCTAGGGGGCGTGTGTTGAAGTTAATTTAATTCAGAAGATATCTACATGTATTTAAAACGATGCCAGACATATATTTTAAATGAGATTTTCTGAATGTATGTTACAGACGACTGAAGATGATACAGTATAAAGGTCAACAAACTATGTTTCTGGTCTACGGACAGATTGACATAACACTTAAATTATATCATAAACCTTTTTTTACTTAGAGGTGTGATATCCCCTCAAAAGTTGAAGTACAAAATATTCTTTCATATTAACATAAATCAACAATAAAAAATAGATTTTTTCTTCGAAAAATGAAATACTGTAATGAATACTGTAATGAAATATAGCTTTTCATTACACATTCACATCACTCACGCTATTCATTCACATTATTCACATTATTGTCATATATTTGAATCTGCTGACTTACGCCTTTATAAATAGCTCTAGCTAGAATTAAAGATCTGAAAGCTTGTACACTGATAAGGACCAATCATGGTGCGTCCGTGGTTCAGTGGTTAATGTTGTTGACTTCAAACCATTTGCCCCACACCGCTGTGGATTCGAATCCCGCCAGGGACTTTAAATTATTTTATGTAAGGAAGCTATCCAGCTTGCTTAAGTATTGTCGGTGGTTCTAATATGGAGTCCTCCCATGCCTGTAATGATGCACGGAGGGTTATTTGAGGTCTTTCTCTAGTAAAGCTGGAATGTCGCCATAGAACTTTTACTGTGCTGATGCAACGTTAAACACACACAAAAAATAATAGCAACTAAAAACCAACACCAACAACAATCATTAAATCATTTTTGCTACGTTTTATGAAAAAATAATTATCAATCTGTATATTCCGAGCAGCGAATCAGAAAATAAGAAAAGTGTTTTTCTTTTACTTTTTACTAGACTAGTAAGATTTAAACAGTACCGTGTAAAAGAAAAAAAAGAGAAAAGAATTAATGATAAAACATATTGGTGTTTTATGGAAAAATAATCAAACATAAATCTGAAGTTAAGTTAGATAAACCATTCTGTCAACAGTGTAAATAGAAACAAATTTAATGTTGTTTTCATACATACGTCAGAAAGTTATCTTAAAGTGTTTTCCAGCGGTTTATATGCCTAAATGTGATATATTTAAATCAATTATTGTATTTTAAAATATTTTTAATGCTGAAAACAACATACGCTTACAGTTTACAGTACATACATCTATTATATTTGACTTTTTCATTCAAACATTCCGATTGTTCTTTTGGTTCACCTACTCATATACCAGTATATATTAAAACGGGCAAATATCTCGAATATATGCTTATTTACAAAATGTACAAACCAAAGTGTGACCAAAATAAAATAAAAAACATGAACATTGGGTTAAAATATATAAGATTAAGATGTTTACGCATTTGCATGCCTATAGAAAAAGCTTAAGCTTAAAAATACAGAAACGATTTATTAAAGTTAAAGGCACCGTAATCCTCAAGAATATATCTGTTCTTTTTTAGAAAGAGTAAACTGTTTTAATAATATATTTAGAGCATGTTATGTGCTTATCACTCGAAGAAAGCAGCGTTGAATGTGACATTATTTATTATACAAGATAATAAATCGTTCTTACTTTACTAAATACCAAAACACAAAAGAAGTAAAAGATGAGGACATTTTTGGAAACATGATACCGATTTAAAAAGGTTTTGAGCAATAAAATTAATAACAGTATTGGGACTTAACGGGCATTTCCTACAAAAAAAACTTTTACAGGAGAAATATATGTTCCCACAACACGTTTAATAAAATACCGGTATAATGACACTTAGATAAATTCATTAAATAAAGAAGTATTTCAAACTCTTTAGTTTTGCTAAATGCATAATCAATGAGGCGACTCAAAATGAAAGTTCCTTTTGCTTTTATAAGATGTAAATTTATATAAATGAAAACAGCTTACGTTGAAGTTTTGGTGGTTTGTATCTGGTGCAATGAAGCCACTCGTAATGTGTCGACTCATCAGTGTCCGTTTCTATTTTCATATCTTCACTGTTACATTCAATGTCTTCGTCTTCATCACCGTCATCGTCCTCATTTTCTGAAAATCTTTCTTCTGTCACTTCTCCAACTCTGCTAGTGCTCTCGTTTGAAAGAATGCGTTCGATAGAAAACTTTATTTCTGAATTCTGCCCCGGCTTAAAATGTTCTTGTTCGCTTTCATTATTTTTTTCCTTGCTTTGTTTTGTTTCTGATTGTAACTTTTTTCTTTTGTTGTCAGTTTCTTCTAAATTATGTTGTTGTTGCTGCTGTTGCTCCTGCTGTTGTTGTTGCTGCTGCATTAAATGATTTGAATGAGGGTAATATATGTCGTGTTCTTGAGCATTATAGAAATGTTGACGTTGGACTGTCGGTATAACTAAATCCGGACCAAACGTTCTCCCCATTGTATTATATTGACTCGGAAACATATAATATGCCTGGTATCTACCAAAGTACGATGTTAACATCCCTTTAAGCATTTAATCTGCTCTGAAAAAAACTTTTCCCCCTGTCTTTTAATAATATTAAAACTATTTTGTTGTCATAATTCTGAGCTAATGCTGAAAGTCAATTTGTGAGAAATAGCTTCAATTTTTAAAGTCTTAAAAAGTTTTAAAAAACTGGAATCTGCATTCATATTAAAAAATCTTCCCCCGGGGTTTACCTCTGACGGCAATTGGAGGGAAAAGGGCGCGGTAGCGGGACTTATAATTTTTCGAGTCCACCCCTGACCTCTAAAGGGTTTATCAATTGACGGGGATTTTTTCCCCCATATGTTAAAATTTAAAATTTTTAAAAAAAATTCATTCATTTTAAGAGACTGCAGACCTATTACAGATGTTTCAACTTTGATAGTTTTCTGTTTTAACTTACCTAGTTTATATATAATTGTTTGAAAAACAGCTTATAATCACTTCTAAAGTAATAAGGAAACAATTAGAATAATTGGTAAATGCTGTAGAAATTTTGTTTATGTTTTAGAAAACATTTTACATAAAATTATATTTTAATTAATTAGGTCATTTAAAAAGATCATAATGTACAGTGTATATGGATAATTTATCAGCAATTTTTGTTTAAATATATCAATGCACATTGTGGTGATATAATATTCTATACCCATTTTATCTAAGCAGTTGGATTTAGTACAAATGCATTCAAGTATTTGTATTATATTTTTTCACTATTTGTTTGATTCAGCGGTCCCATTCAGACTTACTGTAAAAAGCTTATACACGTGCAAAGGTACCGAAAGTACAAGTCAAACACATTCTGGATGATCGTTATGGGTATATAGACTAGAACAGAAGGGAAGCCATATTCAACTGCTATGAAAAAGTAAAAAATATATATGTTACAGTTTCATACAATACGGGGTGTTTTTTTTAACAAACAAAAAGCATTTAAAAAACGAAATTGGTTTTGCCGCCCTCGACCAAAAGAGAAAAAAAACATGTTTTGTACATAATTGTCTTGTATTATCTTATCATAATTACTGCAACTAGATTTCTTTTTAATAATTTATAACAAGTGTTCGTACAACGATTGTTAAGTTTTTTTTAAAGACGGAATTGACAAGGGAATATAAAGATATTTGCCTGTTAGATTTGATAGGGTTTAGAATATTATCACTTTGATAGAAATTACTGAAACAAAAGAAAGGTAGATCCATATAGGTATATAAATATTCTATAAAATTAGTGAATCTCAAACATATGACGTATTTTACGTAAGATGTGCAATACATACTTAAATGGCCAGTAAAGAATGATCTGTATCACACACCCGTGCCGGTTTTGCGACTCTGTAAAAATGTTACTGCACGGCCGATGCATATATATTTTGACGTGCGTCCATTTGCGGGTTATACAAATATAGTGTAAAATCTGGAAATTAGTAAGATCCTCGGAAGCATTAATTTCACAAACAAAATTTTTACACGAAAATTGCAGACCCCAGTTTGTTTGAAGGTTCTGTACATGAGGGATAATGAAATGTGCAACATCCCTCACAGCCCCCTAGCACCGGCTTGAGCGGTACTCAATTTTCAACACTTAGAATCAATAATCCCGAAGGACCAGAAAAATATAACATCACTGAAGTGAAGTACGGACAACTTCTTACGGCGTTTACAGAAAAGACACGCGTCAATGAAATAAATGATTTTTTTCGCTTTAAACAGCTTTGGTATGTAATAAATAGAATGTTATATCCGTACAGATTCATTAGTGACTAAATTCCAATGTACATTTTGGATTTATACAGTGGTATAAGTGTAAAGTAGATAGAATTTTAAAGAAAGCAGCAACAAGAGTCAAAGAAGATTGTCATATAACATCAGTTGTCAAGTATAAGCGGATAATACCTTGATACCCCCCGACATTTCTCTACATTAACACATGTATACTCCATTCACGGAAACTGAACTCAGAGATGGCTACATGTACATGGGTTATTAAAAGTGCTATTTAATGCACATTATGCCTCAGAAATACACTTTTTTATATTTTTTTCTTTCTTTGTAAATGTCAAACGTGTTTTTAATAATGAATAATGGATTAAGAGCATGCTAGATGCTTTTCAAAAGAAAAAGTAGCGCTGAACCATGCAGTTAGGTATCGTAAAGGTAGCAAAATGTAAATAAAGAGTATTTTGACTCCCATACTAAATACTTATTCACAATAATTATACCAATTTGCAACAAAACTAAATATGCAAAAGATAGTTCATATATATAGCAAATGCGTATATTTTTGGAAACTGTAATAGGATACAAAAATAAACAGTTTTTGAGAAGTAAAAATAATACCATTTATGTGGCATAATGTGCCTTTAAAATATAAGACAGCTCATTTGTCTTTGCAATGGTAGAAAAACAATTGCACGTCTACCACATAAATTGATATTATGGAATTATATACGGCACCTATATATTTTTTCAGGTATTAAAGTTAGATTTCTATCAATAAAATAAGATTTATATTAATTTGCATTGCTAAATCACACTTTTGGCGTAAAATGTATTATATTTAAGAGTTTCGACATTATACTGTAAAACAATAGCTTATTCAACTGTATTTTAAGATATCGTTCTTATTATATTTTCTTCTTTTAAACAAAAGAGAGAATGATATAACCGTATAATCATAAACGCTTATTAAAATCGTATTTCAATCACGAATACAATAACGATAAAAAAAACAACATTGTCGTCTGTTGAATTATAACAAGACGATTGTAAAATGATACATGTTATCATTTCATATATGTCAACCATTCTATATTATATTTTTCTGTTAACACTAAACGTTTGTTTCCTTAATTTTTTTAATAGATATTTAGATACACATAAATTTCAGATCTTTTTACCACACTTGCTAATTGAATCATAGATTCGTTCATTTTTATGAACAAAATATTTCACATTACTGAATTCTTTTATACATGTATCATATTTTGATTTACAAGCTAGAAAATACATGCATCAAGAACTGTTATTATCGGCAACATCAAGAAAATACTTGCGTCTGACTCTATTATTACCGCTTAGATGGTGTGAAATTATACGTGCCATAAAGATGATTTATTTCGGAATTAAGTTTACTTTATATCATGTTATAGATATGACATTTTGTGAAAAGATCTAAGCGCTTATGATATCTGGGAAATTTATATCTTTTAATCAATTGATGGTATTACAACGATAACATAAATATAAATCTAGACGTTTCAAAAAATAAAATAATATCTTATAAACAAAATAGCGGGAAATTAAAAGAGCAATACATCACTTGAAACAGCCAACTGTTCAATGTATCAGTTAGAATCAATTAATGAGGTACTAATGTAGGATTTGTTTACATGCGACAGTATTGTATTTTAAACAGTTTTTCTGGAGTTCATAAAATCACATTTACAATAAAAAAATGAAAGGTATTTACGATGTAGAAATTTTAGGTTGAATTTCGGCTAATATAAAGAAAATAATTGTTGAGGAGGAGAATGGGAAGCAATGAAATCAACAGAATAAAATGAAAATTGCAGACTCGGTTTGACTCAATTCCTGGGGGATGGTGGTCTGATGGAAAAATGCAACATGCCTCATGTCTTCTGGTACCGGTTTTAGCGGTATTCAATCTTCAACACTAAAGTTGCTGGTCTCAATGATCTCGAACGACCTCCTCGGAAATAGATAGCAAAATCTGGAAACAAAGTGATCCCTCGGAAGCATTAATAACAACAAAATTACAAGAGAATTGCAGACTCGGTTTGATTGAGTCTGTACATGAGGGATAATGAATACGTGCAACATTCCTCACGCTCCCTAGCACCGGCTTGAGCGGTACTCAATTCTCAACACTCAATAGCGAGACGTGTGTTCGAACAAACGAACGAGTCACCACTTCAGTTTCCTTCTCACTTTTAAGGGAGTTAATAAAACCTAACAGAAAACTTTTTAAATTGATATCCTTCACCGCATTATAGAAATAACTTTATAGAAACTTCTTGATATAAGATACCTTGTAATATGATAGAAAATGAATTCTGTGTCTTTACTTACAATGAATAGTGCCAACAAAATCAGAAAGTGTAAAGGACAATAATCATATAGTAAAGGACATTCAAATATTATTTTGATTTTATGCATAGTAATTTTGTCATTTCTTTAAAGCATTTTACTAAGAAGTACAATTGTAGGATTTAAGTGTAGTGAATTAATTTAATTTAATTTAACTAGACCGGGAATGTATCTGGGCGTAAATGTTGCTTAATAAACTGTCCATCCTGAAATACATTCTGAGGATTAAAATCTCAGCTATCAAATCTTATGGAACCCATATGGGTCCCTAATGGGCATTTAAATGGATCCATGTGTGCTGTCCGTGTGAGATACCCATATGGGACCGATATTAAAAGTGCAACCGGATTCCATGTGGGTAAGGTATGAATAACTCATATACATTTTTCTTTAATTATCTATTTGGACATGAATTGCACTTCATATACTTATATTTCTCATACATGAAATAAAATCATTTTGACACTCAAATGGATTCGAACTCATAACTGCTTTGAATTGGTCAAACATTTCCCATTATGAACCAAACTGAACAGAAATGTTTTGCTTCATGATTTTAATTACATGTAGTGTTTTTATATATATATATAAGAGTATAACGTTGTCTTTTGTTATCAGGCTACATGCCATATATTTATTCAATATTTAAGTAGTATTGGCTTTCTACAGTTTTGTTAAGCATATATATATTATGATCATTCGAGAAATTACATTGCTACCGGTTATTGCACGATATTAGCAATTTATGACTGAAGGAGAAAGTGCTAGAGAGGTGACATACATCATAATTCTAGAATACCTCGTAAAGATTTTGAGGCAGAACAATTTGACTAGATGAGAACTGATTTCATGTTATTTTTACAAACAAATTAGTTCTGTGGAGAAGGATTTGTGAGTGGTTATTCACCACAGCCAACTAGCAATGTCACCAGTGCTGTAAAACAGTAAAAACCAAATCCGTTATTTCATTATGTGAAAAGATCTACAATACATTTTAAACCAAATGGTGCATGTTTATTGCCTTGTGTGTCTACCACATTCGGAAACTGCTTGTTCTTCATTACTCTCGTAATTTTAAGATACTCTGCATTTAAAAAAGAGCTTATAGATCTAATACCTGAACTATTGAAGTATTTAGTGATTTAATATGGTAAAAAGGATTCAAATTTGATGAGCATATGTACAGGACATTTCACTGTGTGTATTAATATGTGCATCTTAAAAATTATAGCTGATGGCGAAGTGTAAATGCAAAGTACAGTTATGTAAATTACATTTTGTAAGCCTTCTTGGAATGCAATTGCATCCATCCTACTTGTTTTTTTTACAAACGAGTTATCATTTTGACAATATTTAAATTTTAGATGCATTTAATAAATTTCGTAACAAAACATTTCGCCCCGTAAGAGTAATGCAATTGCCCAAGTCTATAATCTGCTTGTTGCTTACTGAAAAAGTTGACAAATTATCATTTTCGTTGGAGTGTAGCGAATAAGAAAATAAATGTATAACCATTCTCTTTTTCACATATGGCTTAACCATTTCCACTATGGCATTTTGTTAAAAAATGAAGTCATTTCTAAATTATTTTACAATACAATTTTGTTTGTTTAATTTAACTGAATGCTATTACATTTCATTTGCCACTATGAAGCGTAGTCAATCGCATGAACTGGCTCTGGGTAAAGGTCAAGGTCATAGGTTAAAGGTCAAGGTCACACTTACAGGTCAGAGGAAAATGGAAAAACATGTATTGAGGGGAAATCTATTAATACTTTTGATGCCACACAATAAAGTTGCAGTGATAAGTGGTGTAAGGCCATCTGCACCGCGAACGCCGATATTATAAGTTTCACCATCAAACAGTGTAATATTCAAAACGGCACGTTAAATCGTAGGTATAATGGTGTCTTAAAGTATCTAGATGTTTATAGGCCCTCCTTCACTAGCAGCATAATATGAAAAATTGCCACGGAGATAAAGGATTTATCTTCTATGATGAGTCCTTATCATGCAAAAATGAAGAATAGATATTCTGACGACCAAAATTTTTAAGAGTTGAACATTTTTTTAAGGGAACAGAGTTGTTGCGCTTTTTGCTCTAGATTTCCAATTAGATCCCTTTAAAAAAAAAATTTTAGATACAGTTTGGTGAATTTAACATTATATACGTATTTGACCCTTTTTAATTGTTCTAAAATTTTTAAATCAGATAATATTTTCGCTAACAGTATTCTTACTGGGGGCCTTACATAAGTATAAAATCAGTTCAATCGGGCGCCGCCATTTACAATTAATTTCAAAGAAAAAGGGTGGGATTCCGATAACGGGAAAAAATCCAACTTTTTGGGTTTTAAAAACGTCGATGTTTTGATAAAGGAACTGTATGTACTACCGAATGACACCTTTAAAACGGAAAGAATGAAAGGATTTTTTAACGACTTCCCCGTTCATAGGCTTTGCCTAATTTCATATTAATAATACGGGGAAGTCAAAGACCGGGCCCGCGAAGCGGGTCCGGGCTTTGGCTTGCCCGGCTATAGACTACACGTGTATATATTTAAAAGAAAATCAAATAAAAAAACAATTAAAAAATATATAGAAATATATAGAATTCTATACCTATCAATTAAATTTTCAGTGTCAGTTCAAGTCGGGCGCCGCCATTTACAATGTAACTCAATGATAATAGGCGGGGTATTCCGATAACGGAACAAATCTCAACTTTTCGGATTAGTAATAATCGTCGAGTGTTCCGAGTGAAAACGGAAGCGGTGTATGTAATACCGAATGACACCTTTAAAACGGAAAGAATGAAAGGATTTTTTAACGACTTCCCCGTTCATAGGCTTTGCCTAATTTCATATTAATACGGGGAAGTCAAAGACCGGGCCCGCGAAGCGGGTCCGGGCTTTGGCTTGCCCGGCTATAGATTACACGTGTATATTTAAAAGAAATTCAAATGACTTGATAGCATTTGACGTACTAATCTTATCCGGAACTGTAACGACCGGACCTTTAGTGCCCGAAATTTTCGTAGACACCTTAGAACTCGAATCTTCCGTCAAACTTGTCGAACTGTGACTAGTTGTAGGAACACTGACGGGACTAAAACCCGAAGCCATTTTTCTATAGTCTATAGCTTTTCTAGCCCTAGAACTCCTCATTCAAAACAGAAAATTATGTTACAGAAAGCTCTGTATTCAACGTCAAAAGAAAAACAAATTCAAAATAAAAGTTTTTCCCCACTGTGAAACTCCTCTGAAGAACGTAAATTAGTCCATATAAAACTGTATCCTAGAGAAGCAAAGTAACCACAAAAATATTATATTCTTTTCAAAATGGCCACAGTAAAGACCGCCAAAATTTAACATTCCATGAAAAACGTGTCATACAAACTGTACCAAAAACTAGTTGAGCGGCTTATTTATAATAACCGCGGATGAATACAAAAAATCAGTCAAGTAAATCAAAACAAGTCACTGATTTTAAAAGGGAGACAATAAGCCAGGTAACAGACGTAATAATAAAAAGCCCCTGTCAATATCGATAATTAAAAGATTTTATGTTTTACAAAAAATACTTCAAATCGTCGAGTGTTCCGAGTGAAAACGGAAGCGGTGCATGTAATACCGAATGACACCTTTAAAACGGAAAAAATGAAAGGACTTTTTTTAACGACTTCCCCGTTTATAGGCTTTGCCTAATTTCATATTAATAAAAATAAACTCTTTATTTAACGAAGGTAGCTTATTAAGGCTGTACTGTATACACCAAAGCATCAAAGGCAAATCTTATTTTTAATAGACATATTACAAGAAAACAGACATTATATGTTATTTTAATGTTTAAAGTTAAACAGTCTTTTTATGTAGACCATTGGACATCTTTGTATTAAATATTAAATATTATAATAATATATACACGCATCTCAATTTTTATCAACTATTTAACATTTAAACGGTTTGTACCGCATAATTTGGTACCGCAACCGTTATCAAAATCCGCAAATTAACCAAGTAAAATCAAGCTTCCGCTGATCTTGACTGTATGACTTTTTGTCTTTCTTTCATTAGGTTTTCTTATACTCCTTATGCTTAATACAGATATTTAAAAAAACTATTAAACACATGTACATTTCTGTTGCAGCAGACAAAACTGTCTTTAATTTGAGACAATAATTATTTCAAAGTAAGATAGCTTTCGGATATTAAGTATCCGAATTTTTGTGAGGAGATAATTTTTTTATATGTCAGGTATATGTAAAAAGTTTTTGTTCATAACTTGTTTTTCGGATCGACTATTGAAAGAATAGAGAGAGCTATTGTACTCACCCTGGTGTTGGCGTCACCTTCACTCTTTGGTTAAGCTTTTGCATGAAAGTTGATATCGCCAAAACTACTGAAGGAATTGGGTTGAAATCCAGAATACACCAATAAACACTTTCCCCAACTAGCAGACGACAGGCTATTCTTATCAGTATGTTTTTGAGTCAAAGATGCGTATCTCACTGTATAAGTCGTATGTAAAATGGTCTGACATATGGTAGGTTTAACAGTTAATTTAAATACTTTGGTGACAAAAAATATGTAAAATTATATACTGTGGCAAAGCTAAGATCCCAAGCTTTCCATTGATGTAATATTTTTTAAAATCGGACATTTAATCACAACAAACTAGCGGTTTAAAAATGGCTTAATTTGTATTGTTTTAGCATAAGAGATATCGATTTTACTCGAAGATAAGGGAAACAACTCGTATTTTTTCACTCGATATACCTCGGTTATTTACGTAGTTCATATGAAAAGTGTTTATGGGTGTATAAGTAACGATTCGCCACAATAACGATTCGCCACAATAACGATTCGCCACAATTAAATAACGATTCGCCACAGTCAAATAACGATTCGCCACAGTATTATAAAAAACGATAATTTTCTTAGTTTGACTAGTCCTAGTTCAATTATATCAACATTTTTTTAAATAATTCGACAAGGACAATAATAAATTTACTTAATATAAGTAATGTGAAGATATGGACCCCAGCGCAGATTTTCATTTTGAAGCATTTTTTTAACAATACGTACAATCTTTTAATCACAGGAACCCGAAATTCTATCCAAAAAAAAACACAACAAATAATGATTAAAAAAAATCCCATATAAATTTTTTTTAATCGTTATTTTTTTTGTTTTGGATAGAATTTCGGGTTCCTGTGCTCTTAATTATGTTTTTTATATTCGGTGTACCTGAGACATTTTCCAATCTATTCCTGGCATATTACACTTAATTTAGCAGATAAGACGTAATTGATGCCATTTTACGAGGTAACGCCGAATTCGTGAATGAAGCACTGAATCAACGGCCGCGGTTATCTCGTTAAAAGTAGCTAAATTCTATTTTACCAGCTTCCTTCCATTGTTACGACACTTGTTGTGTAACAAATGTCTTAGACCTGTATACAGAATATGAGAACATAATGTTTTAAATGTTTTTATTTGGTAATAAACTATGTTTGTTTTCATGTGTTTTATTCAATAAAAGCTGCATTTAGTATAATTTTCCAGGTTATATTATTAACAAATGTTAACTAATATACAATGTGTTTTGTAATTTGGTAATAAATATGCTCGTTTTCATGTGTTTTTATTAGCTCACCTGTCACAAAGTGACAGGGTGAGCTTTTGCGATCGCTTTTCGTCCGGCGTCCGGCCGTCCGTCCGTCCGTAAACTTTTACTTTAAATGACATCTCCTCATAAACCACTAAGCCAATTTCATCCAAACTTCACAGGAATGTTCCTTTGGTGGTCACCTTTAAAAATTGTTCAAAGAATTTAATTCCATGCAGAACTCTGGTTGCCATGGCAACCGAAAGAAAAAACTTTAAATATCTTCTTTTAAAAAACCATAAGAGCTAGAGCTTAGATATTTGGCATGAAACATCTTCTAGTGAGTGTCTACCAAGTTTGTTCAAATAAAATTTGGCCCCGCCCCGGGGGGTCATTGATTTTCCCTATATGCATATAGTAAAAACTTAAAAAAGTTTCTTTTAAAGAACCCAAAGAGCTAGAGCTAAGATATTTAGCATGAAACATGTTCTAATGGGTGTCTACCAAGTTTGTTCAAATAAAAGCCCTGGGGTCAAAATTGGCCCCGCCCCAGGGGGTCATTGATTTTCCCTATATGCATATAGTAAAAACTTAAAAAATCTTCTTTTAAAGAACTCAAAGAGCTATGGCTAAGATATTGAGCATCAAACATGTTCTAATAGGTGTCTACCAAGTTTGTTCAAATAAAAGCCCTGGGGTCAAAATTGGCCCCGCCCCAAGGGGTCATTGATTTTCCTTATATGTATATAGTAAAAACTTAAAAATCTTCTTTTAAAGAACCAAAAGAGTTAGAGCTAAGATATTTAGCATGAAACATGTTCTAATAAGTGTCTACCAAGTTTGTTCAAATAAAAGCCCTGGGATCAAAATTGGCTCCGCCCTGGGGGGTCATTGATTTCCCTATATGGATATAGTAAAAACTTAAAAAATCTTCTTTTAAAGAACTCGAAGAGCTATGGCTAAGATATTTAGCATCAAACATGTTCTAATAGGTGTCTACCAAGTTTGTTCAAATAAAAGCCATGGGGTCAAAATTGGCACCGCCCCGGGGGTCATTGATTTTCCTTATATGTGTATAGCAAAAACTTAAAAAATCTTCTTTGAAAAAACCCAAATAGCTAGAGTTTAGATATTAAGCATGAAACATGTTCTAGTAAGTGTCTACAAAGTTTGTTCAAATAAAAGCCCTGGGGTCAAAACTGGCCCAGCCCCAGGGGTGTCATTGTTTTTAACTATATGTGTATAGTAAAAACTTAAAAAAAATCTTCTTTTAAAAAGCCCAATGAGCTAGAGCTTAGATGTTTAGCATGAAACATCTTCTTATGGGTGTCTACCAAGTTTGTGCAAATAAAAGCCCTTGGGTTAAATTGGCCCTGCAACATGGGGGGGTTGGGTGTGGCCTATATACAGGTGAGCGACCTCAGGGCCATCATGGCCCTCTTGTTCAATAAAAGCTGTATTTAGTATAATTTTCCAAGTTGTATATTATAAACAAATGTTAACTAATTTGCAATGTGTTTTGTAATTTGAGAAATTAAGTATGTTTGTTTTTATATGTTTTATTCAATAAAATAAATCCAGGTTTTATCACTAACAAATCACTGTGTTATGTATTTTTGGTAATAAAATATGTTTGTTTTAATGTGTTTTTATTCAATAAAAGCTGTTTTCAGTATGATTTGCAGCATTAATTTATGTAATTTACGAATGAAATACATGTATAAAATGGAAGGAAGGTTTCATAGACAGTTTTAATAATATATGTGTGAAAAAGTTTGTATTTTCAACATGTGGCGAATCGTTATTTAACTGTGGCGTATCGTTATTACTCTTTGTGAATCGTTATGTGACGAATTGTTAATGTGGCGAATCGTTACATTACCGAAATCCACACACTTCTCTGTGATTATCTTACATGATTGGCACAGGTCCCATAATTCTGAGTAACTCTTTTGCAGGGTTATGCCTTTTTCTGCCAAGCAATGAGAATAATCAAGCACACTGCCTTGTTAAGTACTTATTGATTTACAGCTGAGCAATATTTTTATTTTACAGTAAAGATCATTTTTCATTTTTTTTTGTCTTTCAGCTTGCTATAAAGATGGAAAAGTTTACCTCTGTGCTGAAGCTAGCAGTATCGTATTCCAGATTTAGAAGTTTAAAGACCATTCAAAAAAGGTATTTAGTTAGTGAATACATACATGTGAACTTTTATTCATAATCAAGTGGGAGATTTTTCTTCAAAAAGAGGGAGATTTAAGAAAATTGCAATAAACAAAGAACGAAGTTCTGACATCAAAAATAGGGAGATTTCTTTAATTTGTGAAAATACTCCTTATTTTAAGAAAAATCTTTGCAAATATGGCTGCAGAAAGTGATAGTCTCCCGCTAAAAGTAGGGAGAGTTCACATGTATGGGAATATGAGGACAGAAAAAATAAATTACAATGCAGCTGGTATAAGGGAGGTCTTAAGTGATTAGATAATTAGAATTGATACATTGAATATTACTGTCCACCTTAATAGGGTAATCACTATTCACTAACTTTATTTGGTTAAATAAATTTTATAAAAATAAAATTAAAAGAGGCTAAAATGGTTTTGATGTTGTGATTCTAAAGTATATGTATGACTTTATAAACCCAAACAGTTTAGTCATAACTGGTTGTATTGGCCACATTTCTATAAGTTTTCTAATATATATTTTGTCATATATCCTTACACACACATTCTTTTTACAATTATTTTATTTTTCTTTCTTGTTCATCATTTTACCATTTTAGATGCCTTTCAACAAGTCAAAAGCTACAACATAAATGGGAGCCTGATATAGTAAGTAATGTTTATAATTAAGATATAATCAAATTTAATTGAAATATTAACATTATAAGATTTCCTTTCACTCAAGCATCATATACTATTTTGTATATACATTTTATCAAACAATACATGATAATATAGTGCTTTTCCCTGTTTTGAAACACCAAAAATGTATTTTAAATTTATATTAATTTTATTGTGTTGTGTTAGTCTGCTGCTTGTTAAATTGATGATCACATCATATCCAAACATCTTACTTGAGTGCTATTCCCTCTATTCTGAGTGCTATTCCCCCTATTCTGATGGATTTTGTAGAGCAATTTGATTAAGTTGTAATCTTATGAGCCAACAGGACTAGTGGGAATACAAGTTCCCACAGTCAACAAGAGGGATAAATCCACCAGAATGGCACATCCATATAATATCCTTTAATTATACCTTCTTTGAAATGCATAAAGGAAAACTGAAAAATAAAATTACAGTATTATTTTGAATTATGAATTTAGTCACTACTCATATACCATGTCACATCTCAAACATTAAAACTTGTGGAATACAGAAAACTCAATATAGCTGTATGTTTTTCATGAAAATTACATTATTTTTTCATCAGAAAACTGTTGTTTCATAAAATATTTAATGAAATATGTTATAAGTAAGTCAGCTGTAAGTATCACGATAATTACATCATTGGTTAAAAGGAAATGTGTTGATTAGTAAAGTTTTGTCTCAGTCAGAGTAACAGTAGGTTTTAATTGTGCCATCACTATAGGGGTCATTAAGATTTACCCTTATCTGTCCGTCCATCTGTCCGTCCATCCATCCTTCTTATGTTGTGTTGCACATAGCCAAAAAGTATTTGACCTAGAGTCATGAAACTTTACAGAAATGTTAGTCAGCTTGTGTACTTATGCACCTGAGTATTTGCGTGTGAATTTATTCAGTATATGTAGAGTTATTGCCCTTGACTTAGTACAAATTTGCAATTTTCATCTTGTGTCACACATATCTCAAAAAGTATTTGACCTAGTCATGAAACTTTATAGGAATGTTGCTCAGCATGTGAAGGACACTTTTCTAGTTGGGATTTTCAACTCTTTAAAATACTTTACTAATAAAAAATTGGTACAGGACATTGAGGGCATTGGAGCATTTTAGTGGTCAGTCAGTCTGCAAAAATTCAACAGACTGACACTGAAAATTTTGGGCAATGAGCATTTTATAAGATGTTTCACACATACCTTTACATAATTAAATTTTTATATAGCTGTTTGATAAAGAGATAATACATGGTAGTTCCTCTCAGATGGTTGCTAAACACTCTTTTCGAACCACTGACATCATCATGAATGCTATATCATTTATAATTAAACATGTACATGTATAATTTGATACTGTTTATTTTCATAGAATTGTTATAAGATGAGGTCTTATATTAAGTTTTGTTGAAATATTACAATCTACTTTTTTTTATTGCAAAAAGAAAATAGACTAATAGTTGTTTCACATTGTTCAGTTTTTAGCTCACCTGTCACAAAGTGACATGGTGAGCTTTTGTGATCGCTTTTCATCCGGTGTCTGTCCGGCGTCCGTCCGTAACTTTTACTTTAAAAAACATCTCCTCATAGACATAAACTGCTAAAACCAATTTCATCCAAACTTCACAGAAATGTTCCTTTGGTAGTCAACTTTAAAAATTGTTCAAAGAGTTTAGTTTCAATTAAAACTCTGGTTGCCATGGCAACTGAAAGAAAAAACTTAAAATATTTACTTTTAGAAAACCGTAAGAGCTAGAGCTGAAATATTTGGCATGAAACATCATCTAGTTAGTGTCTACCAAGTTTGTTCAAATAAATGCCCTGGGGGTCAGAATTGGTCCCGTCCCGGGGGGTCATTGATTTTCCTTATTTGTATATTGTAAAAACTTAAAAAATCTTCTTTAAAAAAAACCCAAATTGCTAGAGTTTAGATATTAATCATGAACTATCTTCTAGTGAGTTTCTACCAAGTTTGTTAAAATAAAAGCCCTGGGGACAAATTGGCCCAGAGGGGGGGGGGGGTCATTGTTTTCCCTTTATGTGTATATAGTAAAAACTTAAAAAATCTTCTTAGAGCTAGAGCTTAGATATTTATCATAAAACATCTTCAAATGGGTGTCTACTAAGGCTCCCACGGTTAAACGTTTAAACGGATTCGTTTCGATTTTCATTCCTAAACGTTTACGATATCTTTTACCGTTTAATCGAAATGACCATATTGTCTTACGGAATATTTTAATCATTGCCTGTAATCACGGCTTTTATCAATTCCAATTGGTTTATCTCAAAGTAAAAATGAAAAAAATAGTGTTTACAACCCTCCGAACAGCATCACCGTGCAATAATCGCTTGTGGCATAATACATTTTTGGTAAAGTTGATTTTCCTTTGATCTTTCAAAAGAGCGAAATTGGGACACAATGCAGAAAATGTGTGCCGACACAAATGTGAAGAGCCCTGGACATTATTTATTTGTATATGTATTAAAAATAGAAAGTATGTCATCATTTGCCGACTCGAATACATGGTGAAGTATAGTACATAGAAGTACCACCGTTTAAACGGTATCGTTTCGGTTCTTAGCAATCGTGTAAACGTTTACAGAAAATTGTAAACGTGGGAGCCTTAGTGTCTACCAAGGTTGTTCAAATAAAAGCCCCTGGGTCAAAATTGGCCCCGCCCTGGGAGCCTATGTACAGGTGAGCAATTTCAGGGCCATCATGGCACTTTTGTTCTTGTTTAGAACGCTATTTTTCTATTACTTCTGTCATAGATCTTGTTCATCTTTATGTAAAAATCAAGCTATGAATGTGCAGTTGAGGGAGGAAGGGAGACTACTCTGATAACTTATTGAACAGTTTCTAGGTGAAGTTATCTGCTGACATCAGATTTATAGAATACTGCACACATAGTTTTGTATAATACAGGAAATAGTGTATTTTTATAAGATATTTGTAAATTTATACATGTACATATTTTTATAATACAATATTTACTTTTCTTTTCTTTATGTAGAATTTGGATCCGGAAATTCCTGAATACAATACATTGAATATCCGGATACAAGGATATGACTACCCATGTCTGGATTTCTTTTCTAAATATGTTTATGTCATAGCAAAACAGATGGACATTGATTGTAATAGGTGAGACATTTTAAAATGCATGTATCAGTATATTTTCACTTAACTTTTATTGATTTTTAAAAAAAATAATTCAAGTATACATTTTTTTTTTTTGAAGAAGTATTTTACATTAATTGTCCAATTAAGTTAATTTACTCAAAAATAATCTAAAGGACAACAGAAACTAAAATCAAACAAAGAAACCCAAATTTTGAATAAATGCATGATGTGAATTTTTGTTTTACTTAAATGCATTCTGGGCCATAATGACCCTTTTGTTTGAATATTGTTTTGTCAGGAGTGTCAAGTTACCTTTACTTTTCAGGTATAGTGTTCCAGCCAAGAAGTTAGAGATCAATTCATTACAGTTTAAATCTAATGTAATATTAGACACATGTAACTTGAATCATTATGAAAGAGTGATACAGGTAAATAACTTCCTTTATTTTTTTTGTCAAGTGTAACCAAAACAATAACAAAAAGAAAAAAATGTCTCATCATTACGTACTATTCCAAAGTGGTGATTACATCAATCTTTGATAATACAAAAAACAGGAATAAACATTAAAACATACAAGTATTTTCACAACACATTACTATCGCCTGTTTCCAATGTCACATAATGATTATATTTATTTTGAAATTACTGTTCTCCTTTTAGTCATTCTTTAATCTCAAAGTGATTAAAATTTATTGTACAAAGTGACTTTGAAAATTTTGACAGAATAATGGCCCATTTTAACTTAAAAAATTTTGATTGGATCTTCATAGCATGTATGTCAGAATGCTTTTTTGTGTCGCCTCTACGGAGTAGTGGCGACATATAGGGATCACTTCTCCGTCGTCTGTCTGTCCGTCTGTCTGTCCGAGCAAACATTTTGGGTTTAGGGGCTATGTAACAGTAAAGAGAACAAAAGAGAACAATAGGTTCATTCCGTGATCAAAGGGTTTATGGGCTAGTAGCCCTTAAGAAAACAAAGAAAATAACAAAGAAAATAGCCCCTAAACCCAAAATGTTGGAACGTCCGTCTGTCCGTCCGTCACAAAACTTGTCCGGACTACTCCTCATAAACTACTGGTGCAATTTCATCCAAACTTTACAGGAATGATCAGTACCAAGTCTAGTTGTGCATATTGTCAGCATTTTCCTGTTCAATGATTTTTGTCAGAGTTATGGCCCTTTAATAATTTTTATTTTTAAAGTTTGTCAGGACTACGTCTCTTATACCACTAATGCAATTTCAATGAAACTTTACAGGATTGATCTGTAGCTCAAGTCCTTGCGCATATTGCACGGGCTTTCCGGTTGAATGATTTTTGGCCGAGTTATGGCCCTTTGATAAAAAGGTGTTTTTTTCTGTGTGTTGCCAGATACACAAAAGCTTGTCCGGACTACTCCTACTGGTGCAATTTTATCCAAACTTTACAGGAATGATCAGTACCAAGTCTAGTTGTGCACTGTCCATCTGTGTGTCCGTCTGTCACAAAACCTATCCCAACATGAAATTGGCCATCATGAGGTGACACATGTGATCACTGATCACTCTTGTTTCATTTATACCTTGAACAACTTTGAAGATGGGAAGGGTTAAGAAAGAACTAAGAAACCAGGTCAGATCAGTGTATAAACTTGTTAACATTCTAACTTAAGTTAAAATATGGTTTGCTTTGGGATAAAAACAAACTGGCCAGTGACATAGATTGTAGAAAAACCTTGATCTTATTTTCATCATAAATTTTGAGCATGAGATGAAAGGTAGTTTGAAGTCTTAAGGAATTTTCATGTAATTTGGTTGTGATTAATGCTTCCGAGGAATCACTTTGTTTCCAGATTTTTATACTTCACAACAGCAGGTGTCAAGTGCTGTGTGGCAGCTGTTAAAAGTTGCCCCGTACTTCACTTCAGTGTTGTTATATTTTTCTGGTCTTTCGGGATCATTGATGCCAGCACTATTAAGTATTGTGAATTGAGTACCATTGAAGCCGGTGCTAGGGGGCATGAGGGATGTTGCACTTATTCATTGTCCTTCATGTACAGACTCGATCAAACCGAGTCTGCAATTTTCATGTAATTTTATTTTGATTAATGCTTCAGAGGGATCACTTTGTTTCCAGTTAAGTGGGTGATAAAAGGATGGCCATCTTGGTTTTCTTGTTATAATTATAATATTTTGATATTTTCAGTTATACAGTCTTCCATCAACAAAGCTTCAGGTTCTGATGGAAATGGTTTGGAGTTGTGTTCCTGAAGGAGTTAATATCACCCTAAAAGAGGTATGTTTGGTATACATACTTAACATTTACCTGTTTTTGTCTTAGACTTTGTTTATATCCAACAAATTATGGAGAGAGCTTTTTAGGAATCACATTGTCCAATCCATCCAGACCAGTCCAATTTTTCTCACTATCTTTAAAATCAGTACAGATATGACATTGAAAATTGAAATATATTGGGTCACAAGAATGCCTATATGGCAAATAATATCATCAAAATTCTTTCTTTCCTAGGAGCATACGTCTTTGGAATAGCCTTCCTCTAACTGTTCAGTCTAGTCTAAAAATATCTCCTCTACACCTCCTGTGAAAATTAAATTGGTCAATACTTAATTATATTAATATTTCGCTACGATTCAACTAGATTTATCATAAATCTAAAGATGTGGGGAAATGACATCACGCGCACCTGTTTTTATACGGCCAATACACAAACATGGCCGCGCTTACTGATTTGTAGAAATCGGTGATTTAGCGATTTAAATTTTGTTATCATTCGTTTAATATTATTATTTGGAGGCAGAAAATTTGCAGATTTATTATTTATAGTATTCCTTTTCTGAAATCAAGTTTTTATTCTAACCTTGTCTTTCCCTTTAAACATCTTTACTGAGAGGCTTGACCCATTCTGTAAATTCTAAATTGCACACTTCCTCTTTTGAATTAATAGTCTTGTAGTACTTTTATTCTTTTAACTTTTTCATTTACTTCAATGTCTGAACCAAGAACAGGTTTTTTTTAAACTTTGAATATACAGTCAATCTTGAATTAAAAGATCACTCAAGGTCAAAAGCATCGTCAGAACCCACGGTAATATATATGGTAAAAAGCCTGGGTTACCGAGGATGGGTCAAAAGTGGTCTCTTAATAAAAAGGTCTCTTTATGCAAAGCTAGATTTTCCAACCAATTTTCACGGGTCATACCGTGTACAAATATTGATTACACATAACCAGAAAATGAAATATATTCCAACATTCTGTCAAAATTCAGACATTTACAGATAATAGAAACTGAAACTGAAACTGTTCTATTTAATTAAACGCCTATTTCTATATACATATTCAATGGCGTTGTACAAAAGGATAATAAAAGTATGTACATATAGATAAGGCTCCCACGTTTACAATTTTTTGTAAACGTTTACACGATTGCTAAGAACCGAAACGATATCGTTTAAACGGTGGTACCTCTTTGTACTATACACACCATGTATTTGAGTCGCCAAATGATGTCTTTCTTTCTATTTTTAATACATGTACAAATAAAGAATGTGCATGGCTCATCACAATTGAGTCAGCACACATTTTTTGCATTGTAACCCCATAATGCTGTGTGGAGGGTTGTAAACACCCATTTTCCGTTTGTTTACTTTGGAAAAAACCACTAGAATCCATGATTACAGGCAATGATTAAGAAATTTTTTAAGACAATACAGTCATTTTGATTAAACGGTAAACAATATCGTAAACGTTTATGAATGAAAATCGAAACGAATACGTTTAAACGTGTAATTGTGGGGGCCTTACATATAGATAAAAAAACAACACATATGCATGGCAAATGAACTACAAAAAAAAATATGTTAAAGATATCAGCCGTGTAAAATATAAAGTATTAAAAACTTAAACAAGAACCGGTTGAACCGGGTGATGCTCCTCGAGAAGGTTCTGGACACAAGAAAGTATAAAAAAAATGAACAAAGGGCAAAAACTCCAAAATTAGGCAAAGCGGAGTTATGTTTTTTTGCACTGCACTTCTATTCAATGAGATCTATCTATCTATAAAGTTTCCTGATGATATCAGAGTTATGTCCCGGGTAAAAGTCAAAGTGTAAAAATGAACAAAGGGCAATAACTCCAAAATTAGACCAGGCTTTGTTTAGGTTCTTTAAGCATTGCAGTTCTATCCAATTATATCTAGCTACCTACAAAGTTTCATGTTGATATCTCTAATAGTTTTAAAGTAATGTCCAGGACAAAAGTCAAAAAGTAAAAATAAACAAAGGGCAATTACTTCAAAATAAGGCAAGGCAGAGTAATGATTCTTAAGCACTGCACTTCCACCCAATGAGACCTATCTATCTACAAAGATTCATGTTGATATCTCTTATAATTTTAGAGTAATGTCCCAGACAAAGTTCAAAGTGTCAAAATGAAGAAAGGGCAATAACTCCAAAAGTAGGCAAGACAGTGTTACAGTTCTTGTGCACTGCAAACTTACTCAATGAGATGTATCTACCTACAAAGTTTCATGTTGATATCTCTTATACATTAAGAGTTATGTCCCGGAAAGTTCAAAGTGTAAAAATAAACAAAGGGGGATAATTCAAAAATTAGGCAAGGCAGAGTTAAGGTTCTTGTTCACTGCACACCTACTAACTCAATGAGATCTATCTACCTACAAAGTTTCATGTTGATACCTCTTATACTTTTAGAGTTATGTCCCGGACAAAGTTCAAAGTGTAAAATAAACAAAGGGGGATAATTCAAAAATAAGACAAGGCAGAGTTACGGTTCTTGTGCACTGCACAACTACTCAATGAGATCTTTCTACCTACAAAGTTTCATGTTGATACCTCTTATACTTTTAGAGTTATGTCCCGGACAAAGTTCAAAGTGTAAAATAAACAAAGGGGGATAATTCAAAAGTTATGCAAGGCAGAGTTACGGTTCTTGTGCACTGCACACCTTCTCAATGAGATCTATCTACCTACAAAGTTTCATGTTGATACCTCTTATACTTTTAGAGTAATGTCCCGGACAAAGTTCAAAGTGTAAAATAAACAAAGGGGGATAATTCAAAAATTAGGCAAGGCAGAGTTACGGTTCTTGTGCACTGCACACCTACTCAATGAGATCTATCTACCTACAAAGTTTCATGTTGATACCTCTTATACTTTTAGAGTTATGTCCCGGACAAAGTTCAAAGTGTAAAATAAACAAAGGGGGATAATTCAAAAATTAGGCAAGGCAGAGTTACGGTTCTTGTGCACTGCACACCTACTCAATGAGATCTATCTACCTACAAAGTTTCATGTTGATACCTCATATACTTTTAGAGTTATGTCTCTGACAAAGTTCAAAGTGTAAAAATAAACAAAGGGGAATAATTCAAAAGTTAGGCAAGGCAGAGTTACGGTTCTTGTGCACTGCACACCTACTCAATGAGATCTATCTACCTACAAAGTTTCATGTTGATACCTCTTGTTGTTTCAAAGTTATGTCCCGGACAAGAAAAGGGGACGGACGGACGGACGGAAAGATATGATATGAATTACTAAATTTATTTCTTTCTTTTAATAATCTATTTTACCGAGTTAACTCAACAATAGAGCTACAATACATGTACATGCATATGAAGTTCAGGATTCAGGATTTTATAATTGACTGCATATTTTTAAAAAAAAAGGATTTTTTTCTATAAAAGATTGTTATGAAGTTGTCACCCTAAAGCCATGAAATATGGCTTCAGGGTGACTATGTGACTCAAAGAGGTAAATACTGAAAAATTACATGTTTCTTTTGTGAACTAAACAAAATTCTTTAACTTGTTATGACATTTATAAGACTTTTAAAGCTCTTTCCTATGAAACATTTTTATAAACTTCATCATCGTTAAAGTTATTTTGATTCCCTAATCTTATGGTTGATTCTCGAAACAATTGTAAAATACAATGACTCTGTTGATTAGCACACATAAATATCATACATAAACAGAATGAAATGTTCTGGAAAAATATTCTTACTGCTAACATAAGTAGCGTTTTATCCATTTGGTTATGATTCTGTGTAATTCCATTAGCCTTAAAGGCAAATTACTATCATATTCATTTCATAAAAGCATTTTTGAAGTATTATTTTTTTCAAATTCAAATATTTTTTTTGCTTTACACACTTTATTACAGCTTGGGTATCTCTGAAATATTCTATTGTTTGCTACCATCATAGAGTGTAATATTTTAACATGATTTTATTGTTTACTTCAGAACACAGACGAAGATGTAGAGATGAGATATATACCTGACCATCAAAAACTAAAAATAGAAGAAATGATACAGGATATTGAATCACGGCAGATTAAGAAATAAACATCTGTACTGAAATTTAATTTTGCCAAAATTGTGCTTGTGTCGACCTTATTTGATCTTAAAAATTGAAAAAATATGTTTTTGTTCTGTTATTATTATAACATCTCATCTACATTTGTTTTTATTCACAAACTTCCACATACATCACATGTCTATTGGAAAAATGTTTTGATTACTTTAAACCTTAAAAAAAATAATCTTGTATGATCAACATATATGGAGAGCTATCCTGCCCATCCCGGCTTCAGCAACTATGCCCACTTCCAGATTACTGGTTGAAGTTTTTTGTGCAGTACTTTATTTTACTTTAGCAGTGACTTCTTTATTTCTTGTGGAATTACTTCACACGTATGTTCCCTATCATCACCCAATTATTTGAAAAAAAGGTTCAAAACTATAGAATAGCTATTTCCAAAATTATTCCCCCCCCCCCTTGAATTTAGAACTTGACATAATTTGTTATTTTTATGCCCCCACAATGTGGGAGCATATAGCGTTGCACTTGTCCGTCCGTCCGTCCCGAAATCTTGTGAACGCAACTCCTCTTAAACCTGATGGCAAATTTTGCTTAAACTTATAGGGATGAACAAACTTAATGTGTAGATGGTAGTAAAGGAAGAATTTTCGCTGCGACCAAATTTAACAGAATTATGGCCCTTTGTTGATTTTTTCACTAGATACTATGTAGAAATTTTGTGAACACAACTCCTCTTAAACCGGATGGCAGATTTTGCTTAAACTTACAGGGATGAACAACCTTAAGGTGTAGATTGTAGTAAAGGAAGGAATTTTTGCTGCAACCAAATTTTACAGAATTATGGCCCTTTTTTGATTTTTTCACTATATACTATGTAGAAATTTTGTGAATGCAACTCCTCTTAAACCGGATGGCAGATTTTGCTTAAACTTACAGGGATGAACAACCTTAAGGTGTAGATGGTGGTAAAGGAAGGAATTTTTCGCTGCGACCAAATTTTACAGAATTATGGCCCTTTGTTGATTTTTTCACTATATACTATGTAGAAATTTTGTGAATGCAACTCCTCTTAAACCGGATGGCAGATTTTGCTTAAACTTACAGGGATGAACAACCTTAATGTGTAGATGGCAGTAAAGGAAGGAATTTTTGCTGCAACCAAATTTAACAGAATTATGGCCCTTTGTTGATTTTTTCATTATATACTATGTAGAAATTTTGTGAACGCAACTCCTCTTAAACCGGATGGCAGATTTTGCTTAAACTTCCAGGGATGAACAACCTTAATGTGTAGATGGTAGTAAGGGAAGGATTTTTTTCTGCGACCAAATTTAACAGAATTATGGCCCTTTGTTGATTTTTAGTTTTCAACTTGTGGCACATGTAGTCCAAAAAATATTTGATCTAGAGTCATAAGATTGACAGAACAGTGGCGTGTGGGGGCATCCGTGTCCTATGGACACATTTCTAGTTTATTATAACTTTTTAGCTCACCTCTCATCACAAAGTTACAAGGAGAGCTTTTGTGATCACAATTCGTCCTGCATCTGTCCGCTAGTAAACTTTTACTTTAAACAACATCTTCTCATAAACCACTTTCATCCAAACTTTACTGCAATATTCCTTTGGTTGGCACCTCAAAGAATTCAATTCTGTGAAGAACTCTGGTTGCCATGGCAACCAAAAGAAAAAAACTTAAAAATCTTCATTTAAAAAAAAACCAAAGAGCTAGAGCTTAGATATTAAGCATGAAACATTCTAGTGAGTGTCTACAAAGTTTGTTCAAATAAAATCCATTGGATCAAAATTGGCCTGCCGAGGGGTCATTGATCTTCCAGATATGTATTTAGTAAAAACTTAATTTTTTAAAAAAAACTAAAAGAGTAATAGCTTAGATATTAAGCAGGAAACATCTTCTAAAAGGTGTCTACCAAGTTTGTTTAAATAAAATCTCTGGGGTTAAAATGTGTCCTACACCAAGGGGGTGGGGGTGAATGTCATTGGTTTTCCATATTTGTATATAGTAATAACTTAAAAGCTCTTCTTTTAAAAAAAAAACCCAAATAGCTAGAGCTTAGATATTAAGCAAGAAACATCTTTTAGTGACTGTCTACCAAGTTTGTTCAAATAGCAGCACTGGGGTTAAAATTGGCCCGCCACTGGTCATTGATTTTCCTTATATTTACACATCTTTTGGAACTGTTGTTTTCCTTTAGCAATAGCAACCAGTAATGTTTTTACTCATACACTATTTAAACTTTGTGATATCAGTTTAAGATCTGCTTTTGTTAGCTCACCAGAGCCGAAGGCTCAGGGTGAGCTATTAGTATCAAAGGGGGATGCTCCGGCGTCCGTCGTCCATCGTCAAGCATCAACAATCGTATTCTTCTCTGAAACAACTAAGCAGATTTACTTCAAATTTGGTCTGTAGCATCCTTGAGACAGTCACACTTGAATTTGCTCGTGTCATTCCAATTGGCCCCTTTTAAGGTGTCAGCAGAGCTAAAAATAGAAATTTAAAACCTTTAAACAACTTCTTCTACAGAACTAATGGATGGATGATCACCAAACTTTGTCTGTAGCATTCTTTGGTAGTCTTTTATCAAGTTTGCTCATATTTATTTGATTGGCCCCTTTTAGGGGTCTCTAGGGCTAAAGATAGAAAAACCTTACAACATCTTCTTCTACAGAACTAATGGATGGATGATCACCAAACTTTGTCTGTAGCATTCGCGGGTAGTCTTTTATCAAGTTTGCTCATATGAATTTGATTGGCCCCTTTTAGGGGCCGCTAAAGCTTGAAATAGAAATACCGTTAAATGTCTATTTCTAGAGAACTAATTGATGAATGATCAACAAACTTTGTCTGTTGCATTCTTGGGTAGTCTTTTATCAAGTTTGCTTATATTATTTTGATTGGTCCTTTTAAGGGGTCTCTAGGGCTAAAATAGAAACAAAACCCTTAAACATCTTCTCCTACAGAACTTATGGATGGATGATCACCAAACTTTGTCTCTAGCATTTTTGGGTAATCTTTTATCAAGTTTGCTCACATTAATTTGATTGGCCCCTTTTAGGGGCAACTAAAGGTAAAAAATAGAAATACCGTTAAATTTCTATTTCTAGAGAACTAATGGATGGATGATCACCAAACTTTGTCTGTAGCATTCTTGGGTAGTCATTTATCAAGTTTGCTAAAAGCTTAAAATAGAAATACCTTTAAATGTCTATTTCTACAGAACTTATTGATGGATGATCACCAAACTTTGTAGCATTCTTGGGTAGTCTTTTATCAAGTTTGATTATATTATTTTGATTGGCCCCTTTTAGGGCCGCTAAAATTAAAACTAGAAATGCGTTTTAACGTCTATTGCTACAGAACTAATTCAAACTTTGTCTGTAGCATTCTTGTTTGCTCATATTAATTTGATTGACCCATTTTAGGGGCCGCTTAAGCTAAAAATAGAAAAACCTTTAAAAATATTCTACTACAGAACTAATTGATGGATGATCACCAAACTTTGTCTGTAGCATTATTGGGTAGTCTTTTATCAAGTTTGATCATATTATTTTGATTGGCCCCTTTTAGGGCCGCTAAAATTAAAAATAGAAATGCGTTTTAACGTCTATTGCTACAGAACTAATTCAAACTTTGTCTGTAGCATTCTTGTTTGCTCATATTAATTTGATTGACCCATTTTAGGGGCCGCTTAAGCTAAAAATAGAAAACCCTTAAAAAATATTCTACTACAGAACTAATTGATGGATGATCACCAAACTTTGTCTGTAGCATTATTGGGTAGTTTTTTTATTAAGTTTGCTCATATTAATTTGATTAGCCCCTTTTAGGGGCCGCTAAAATTAAAAATAGAAATACGTTTAAACATCTTCTCCTACAGAACTAATTGATGGATGATCACCAAACTTTGTATCTAGCATTTTTGGGTAATCTTTTGTCAAGTTTGCTCACATTAATTTGATTGGCCCCTTTTAGGGGCCGGGGCCGCTTAAGCTAATAATAGAAAAACCTTTTAACATCTTCTACTTCAGAACCAATTGATGGATGATCACCAAACTTTGTCTGTAGCATTCTTGGGTACTCTTTTATCAAGTTTGATTATATTAATGTGATTAGCCTATTTAGGGGGCACGAAAGCTAAAAATAGAAAAAACCTTCAAACATCATTTCCTACTGAATTGATAGATGATAACCAAACTTTGTAGCATTCTTAGGTATAGTCTTTTATCAAGTTTGCTCATATTAATTTGATTTGCCCCGTTTAAGCTAAAGCTTAAATGCCCCAGGTCATGGCATTTCTTCAAATTGTTGTTTAAACATATTCTATGCTCAAATTTAATATTAGAAAATATTGACATTCCAACACTGAAAAGCAGTTGTTTCTGGTGAGCGACTCAGGGCCATCATGTCCCTCTTGTTTATAGTTTACAATATTACTTGTTCCTTGTCATGGAGAGTTTTTACATCCAGGTGATTTCAGGGTCATCATTGCCCTCTTGTTGTTTTTCTTGAGGTATTTACAACCCTAAACCTTGTATATAAGTTTCTTTTCATCAGGCACATCATATGTTAGAAGGTTCATCTAGCATCAATATTTTAAGATTTATCCTTCCCTTAAACATTGAATTTCCTAATTATTTACCGTTGACTTCTAATAAACATTAAACTTCAAATACATGTTCTTAATCTTATGAACACCCGTAACATATGTGAAATAAAGAAAAATCAGGAAAGTCTGAAAAGGACTTTGGAAGGTAAAATTGATAAATTAAGGATTGATTTAATAGAGAACATAGACAAAAAAGTGAAATCCTTGCGTGATGAATTAACCCTTGACATCAATAAAGAGACCGTTCGTATTGATAATCTCTTGACAACTGTTCATGCGCTTCAGGCAAGAATGTTGAACATAGAACAATCCCATGAAACGAATGATCAACCAACTACACGGCACACGTCAAACTGCAATGATCCAGAGGTAACAGTAATTGCCAGCGGGCTAGCTTATAATCAAGACGAAAATCTTTTGCAGAAAGCTCAAATGTTAATCGAGGCGCTTGGCGGAGAAGTGTATAACGCA